GGCGGGACCGCCCCGCCCCGCCCCGCCCCGCCCCTCCAGCGGGCTCTGCGCGGGTGCGTAACGCGCGTGTGCGCGGGCATGTGTCGCGCCGCAAGTGTAACGTGCGGCTGCGCACCTGTGCGTAAAGGTGAGGCGTGTGCGTGTTGTGCCACACGTGTAACGTGCGTGCACCTGTGTGTAAGTGTCACGCACGTGTTGTGCACGACACGCGTAACGTGTGTGTGGCATGCGTTTTGCGGCACACGTGTGTACGTGTGTGTGTTGCACTATACATGTCGTGTGTGCATGCACGTGCGTGTATGAAGGTAAGGCGTGCGTGGTTTGTGCCGTACACGTAATGTGTGCGCACATGCGGTTTTGCACCGCGCGCGTCGTGTGTGTATCAATGCAATGTGCGTGTTTTGTGCCATGCCTGTAATAGGCGCACGCGTGTGGATGTCATGCATGTATTTTGTGCCATACATGTAACGCGTGTGCCAATTAATGGGTGGCATGTGTTTTGAGCGTAACGTGTGCGCGGGCGTACAAATGTAACGTGTGTGCATGTGTTGCACCATACATGTAATGTGCACGCTGTGTGTATAAATGTAATGTGTTTTGCACCATACATGTAACGTGTGCATGTGTGTATGAATATAACGTGTGCACACACGTGTGTTGCACCATACATGTAACCATACATATGTGTGGGTTTGTGTCCCCTCCCCATCTTGCGGGGAGCTGGGGGCACTCTGGACCCTGCTCTACCTTCAAATAAAAGCTGGAGAGAAACCAGCGATAAAGTTGTGGTGCATTTCCCAGTGCTAACTCTGTAGCTCCGCGGCTCTTAGTTCTTAACTGCCGGGGAGTCACGTTTACTCTTTGCACAGGGGCGACCTGCGGTTATCATGTGATTCTCCAATGAATGGGCACAATGGACTTGGCATGTGCGTCCAGTCTGCATTTATTAATGGGCAAGTCTGATTTTGCGCACGTGGCCGCCTACATTTTTTATGCAATTCACTACGTAGTGGGCAAGACTGATTTCGCATGCGTGGCCGTCTACATTTATTGCGCGATCCACCAGTTAATCGGCAAAGCGGACGTTGCCCATGTGGCTGTTTGCATTTATTGCGCGATTCACCAGTTAATGGGCAAGCCTGACTTTGCATATGTGCCCATCCTACATTTATTGCATGATTGCATCATATATGTCCGATGTAGCAGGGGCCCCCGCGTAAGAAGCCCTGTGCCAGAGCGTGGTAGGAGGACGGGGACGGCTGATCGGCCCTTGCAGTTCCCAAGGCAGAGGTGGGAGCGTCTGAAAGGATTTTACCACAGCTCTGAATCCGGGCTTTGCAATCGGTTGGATTTAGACTGCCCTCCAGCAGGTCCTCGCTATATCAACAAGGAGGAAATCTGGCAAGAGTAAAGAGGGTCTGGAGGGACCGCTCGTCCATCCTTTCCCAGCATGAGGGCAGTCGATGGTACGGGGCAAATTGCAGAGCCTTCTCCAGCTCCCCAGGCAACAAGAAAACACTTAGAAGAGCGTGACGGTGACAGCAAACAGTAGCTTAGAAAGGTTCAGACGTGCAATTTGTTGTATACAAATCAGTCTGAGCATCACTGGCTGATCGGAGCTGACTCTGGACAAGATGACCTGCCAGCTGCAAGAGGAGTGAGAGATGTTTAGCACCCTCCAGCCCAGGCCGCTGCCAGTTCCTTATTACCCCAGCCTGATTTCCCAGCAAACCCGTTGTAATGATCTGTGACTAGCAACGTGGTGTCTTTAAAGCAGGGATTAACCAGCTGAGTCTAACATAACCTGGAATCCAGCAAACCCAAATGAGTCGCTAGTAGCCAGGTGTGGCCCAGGGATTTAGGGCGTCTCAAAGGCACTCATTGACTCGTTTTAAGCCAAAAAGTAACTTTTTACAAACCCTCCCTCCAGTACTGGAGTTACTGCTTTGAAGGCAGTCAGAGCTGTTGCGGCATTGCTGATCTCTCTGTGGGGCTGTTATAAACCTTTCTTCTTTCGCAACACTCACTCTAAACAGTTGCATTAGCTGGGGCTGCGCCTTTCTTATCCCGAGTGTTGGAAAATCATATTTTTTAATTAGACCAATTAAAAATGAATTAAAAGTCCCCCTCAGTCCCTATTAATCCGGAGCCAGCCGGCGCAGCGCTGTCTTTCTCGAAGCCTCCTCTGCCACGTAGCCGTTGCACAGGAATGCAAAACGACTATCAGGCGATTGTTCAGAACATTTCAACAGCGCACCCACAATACCGGCTGTACCTTGCGTTTTTCAAACAAAGCCTTTTGTTCAGCATTGTTTTCCTGGTATGACACAATCCAGTTCTTTTAGCATATACCTGCACATGCATTTCCTTAGCTGATGAATGGGAAATAACGACAACAGACTTCATCTGGCTTTTTGGTGCCCCCGTCACCAGAGTGTCTCAGCAGTTCACAGTTCGGGGGGAAGCAAAGTCCCAAGTGAATTTCCTGAAGCCCAGTGCTCTTTCCCCAGGCACCCGGGCTCTATCAAGACGTTGCTTCTGCAGTGCAACGCACAACCGCGGCATTTCCCCCGAGTTTGTCATTGGCGCTGTACCCATCCTTATCCGTTCGCTCCTATCCTCAAACTCTTAGGCATATGTATACTCCCTTTCACTTCAGTGGAAACCATTTATGCACTTAAAGTTACCTACATATGCCCAAATATTTACAGGAGAGCGTATTTATGATGTTAACATTATGTTCACGTTTTACTGTAAACATTTCCCCAGACTTACATCCCACATAATACACGTAGGCAAAACTCCATCTGACTTCAGTTTGTGCAGCTCAATTCAGTCCCCCTCCCGTTAAAGTCAGAGGTAATTTTGTCTTTGGTTTCCACAGAAGTAGAATCCGCCCCTTCCCGTAACTCTTCTGTCTCCGCAGTCGGCATGACACGTTAGAGTCCAAATGATCTAAAAACAACAGGGGATTGGCTTAAGTCATTCGAATGCTTGCAAAGCAGAGCTCCCAGCACGGCATGTTTTTGCAGCGAGGCCCTGAGACAGGAAAGCACACGTTTATGGAAGTGCTTAAGCATACGCTTAACTTTAACCATGTTTTTAGGTCCTCTTAAATACAAGTTAAACCTGATCTTCCCTCCTGCTAGTTAAAGGTGCTCATATTGGCAGGCCAGAATAGGTGGATGCGTTCCAAAAGGGGGAACCGATCAATTTATTTTAACTCAGATCATCGTTTGGAAATGCCACTAATGAATTGGCCTTTTTCATCATTTCTGGAGTGAGTAGGGCTCAAAAGAATTGAAGTGGGGAAACATCCAGGTCTGGATGATCTTTCTAAGCATATCATTAAACAGCTTTAACCCCTTTAAATGCATTATAAAGAACATCTTGAATTGAGAAGGCCTTGCTTGGCAGTCTCGCAAACAGCAAGTCATTTGTAACATCATGTTAGTAAAAAAGAAGAAAAACCCGTTCGTTTTGTTTTCACAGATATGTGACAAAGTACGTGGGAGATATAAATATGTCATTTTCATTCTTTTATGCACTATTGGTTTAAAAATCATCTTCCTTAGAGATAGCTCATATCGGCCAAAAATGCAAACACTTCTGGAATACATTCACTGAATGTACCATTCATTTTCCTCCTATTCTTCTTTTAAATGGTACAAAAATTACAGTCTTATCGGTAGATTGTTGTGTTTGTAGAAAGGAGAGAGAGACCATAACGATGCCTCTCCTATCTGCCCGCATCATTAATAACCGGGATTCAATTCCAAAGGTGGGCTCATCAGCTTTACAATGAAAATACACGTGTGAGATCGAGGAGTCAAGTTCTGCGTTTGCCATTTCACAACTGTAATCGATCCGAGCAGCGCACACGCTCCACGACCACAAATACCCTGATCGGGGCTCATGCTCGGTATCCAGTCTCCGGTTTGAGGGGGTAGATGCTTCACAAGCAGCCCCTGGATCATTTTCCCACACAAAACCTCTCCTCTTTGGGATGGCTTTGACTTTCACCGCCCCACAGATGGGGGTGGGGAGGGATCATTTTAAGCTTGGAGAGCTTGGAGCATCTGCCCTTCACTTCAGCAATAAACTTGACTCCAAACACGCCTGGGGGATGCGCTAGCGTGCAGAAAAAGTTCCTGTTGCAGATCGGAGTGAGCACTAAATGCAGGAGGCAAAGCCGTTCACCGCTTAACTCCTTCCTTGTGGGCTAAGCTGTTTTCTGGACACAAGCGCGGCGCTTCTTTGGCACACTTGAGTGCTAATCTGGAGATAGACGAAGCCTGAGGCTCCTAAATCTTAGACTTTAAAGTGAAAGAGGAACGTCAGCATCCTCCCTGCGCTCCCCTTTGGCATAAGCTGCACTTACGCTGCCAGGACCCCCTTGTCCCCTGCTCCCTTTGCTCTCCAAGCATGTTAGCAACACCCCCCGGTGCAGTGGTGCGTGCGGACAAAGTGAGATGCTGAGGAAACCCGGGGGGCCTGCTCAGGTAAAGGAAACGGTGCTGAGGGTTTCCGTGGAGACTTCCAGCTTTGAAGCACCAAGTCCCATCCTGTCTCCATTGATGCCAGTGAGAGTTTTAGACTGATTTTCCTGGGATCAGATTCAGGCCTATTACACCTCACATCTTGAGGGAAACTGAGGCACCAGTCGTGCAGATTGCCGCTGGCAGAGAATAACCAAAAGGCCTGCTGAGAAGATATCCCACTGTTTTCACAGAAACGTATGAGTCTCCCGCCCTGGATACAGCAGGGACCGTGCAATAGAGGCGAAAGCAGCCCTTTCCAACCCAGCCGGGAGCGAGCGGCTCATCCTTAGACATTCCTGGGATGCAACGCGGTGACGTTTCCAATTATTCACTCTCTCCGAAGCGATGACGACAATTTCTT